ACTCATATCCTATCTAAGTTAAAAGTAAGCAAAGATAGTAATGAGGTATGTTTTACAAATTTTGTTCAAATTATCAAATACAGACCTAAACCACTTAAATTGATTCACTTTTTATTTTTTAATTAAGTTTAAATTAATTTAAATACTATATATATATGATATGATAGAACATTAGTTTATAGTATTAACTTAAATACATCACATACATTGCATGCATATAATTTGGCTGGTCGATCTACATGATTGGTCTAATCATTGTACTCACACATAAAAAAAAAAAAGGTTTAAAACTATTATGACATCATTTATATACACACCAAACACTCCCATGACAGGAATGCCTGGCTATCAATGAATTTGTTTGCCAACCTTCCAACTTGCCAACTTAATGAAAATTATAATATTACTTTTAAAAAATCCAATATATACATTATTATCAAATAAATTGACCAATCAAATTAAGTGATATATATATATATATATATATCTTGCTGCCTATTTAAAAAAGGTTGTGTGAATAAAAGTCATGCTTGCTCCAACAATTTTATCTCAAATATTTGAATTTCCTAACATGATGTATCGTTATTGGATAAATTAAAAAACGATGTTTATCAGTTCATGGGTAAACCAACTGATTTATAAATGAAACATTACAATTAAACCAATAGATTATTGTCATATCAGGAGTGTTGAGATAAAAATGACGAGACCAATATTAATTTTAATACAAGACTACTCTTTTTCATGAAGATTTCTTATACTAATAGCATATCCTAAGTTTAATGTATAAAGTCTGGCAAAAAAAATTAAGTTTAGTTTGTAAAGAGAGATTGATAAATATTTTTGGGCAGTAGAGATAAAGATTAAGCATGAAGCGAAAATTTCCTAAATTGAAAACTGAAAAGCATAGTGGCTTATCACTTAAAATCCCATTTCATAATTGATTGACTAGAATTATCGATTTTTTTTTTTTTTTGTTTTGTAACTTTAAACATAATACAAAACTGTCATTTTTTATATAAAAAAATTACTATAAAAGACATCACCAGGATTGATGGGATGGATATGAACATGTTTCACGTCCATGAGATGGCCTTCAATTAGCATTAGATTTTTTTCATGAAATGGCTTGCTATTTAATTGTTATATATAGATCATCACGCCAATTTTGACTATCTGCAGACTACAAATAAAAGAAAACAAATTCAAATTTCAATGGGATAATCAACCATGTTCATTGCTCAACTAAGCTCATCTAAATTGTTTCTCTTTTGACCTTTTTTTTTATATATACATATATATTTCTTCTATTGCGATTTGACATGTAGAAAGTGATGTTCAATTAGAGAGAATATCGCCTCCAATAGTCGTATTATGAGAAGTTTATATTTACAAGAGATTGATTTTTGTATAATTATAATTAGGTAATTGCAGTATTTATACTATATATAAAATCTATTGTATATTTATAATAAATATGAAATAAAGGACATTTATATCTTTTTAAATTTTTTTATAAAACATATTTTTATTTAAAAAAAAACTATCTACTTTTTTCAACAAATTCTTTTTTTTCATTTTCATACACATAGAGGTGGTGGGCGTGTAATATTTAATTTTATTTAAATTTTAACGCAACCTTTTTTTTTTTAATCTCTGCATTAATATTATTTTTTCAATTCAAAATTTTGTGAAGTAAGATCCTGAAATGATGAAATAGTGACATGAAATTTTACTTTAATTTGAATTTCAATTTAATTAAATAATATTTTCTCTGCCCTTGTTATTACTTGTGATGAAATTAAATCTAGTATGATTGGCCTAAACATAATTTTATTCTCTCTAGTACTCTTTTTTTTGTCTACATTCTACATCTTTGTATGGCCGAAATTCATCTAAAAATCATTAAACTATACTGAAATCATCATGCTAAGCTACCCACAAATTAATACTCATCTCTCAATTTTGAGGGCAATATTTAGCCGTCTGGCTGATGCATACATGCTTTAAACAGGCACATGAAACATATTCTTCATGACAAGATTTTGAGCCTTCTTAATTTTGAAGCCAATTTTGTTATTTCTAATTTCCCTTTTTCAATCGCAATAACTTATCAATAGCTTCTTTTACTTTTAACAATCTATTTGAGAATCCCATTGAAAAATTCTCACCGCATTAAAAGGTTCGTTTTATAATTATACGATGCAGCTTAAATTATTGGTTATCCATGCATGTTTACTTCCAAATTGAACTTTCTTATCTTTACATATAGAAAACGGTTGCTTTTCCCACATTTTTTAACGCTTAAAGTCTGCCAAAATTGAAAAATAATTCTTACCAACAAAATCTAAAAGCGTAATCCAACACCTAACAAAAACATGATTTAAAATTGCTTAAACTTGTTGCTTAAATGGTAATGCTTACTAAGACACGGCTAGGATCCAAGACCGGTTTTGATAAATTAAAAATGTTGAATTTTCCAGAAGCAAACGCAAGACCCTGGATCATAGGATTCTACAACCCATACGATCCCTACAATCTGGATAAAAACATCCACCACCATTCACCAGCAGCCCCATACAAATAATAGAGCCGGCGCCTTGTAAGGTAGTGGGGTCTCTTCAATTTGGCCAAACATTTACATTTCCCGTATAATTGGTCTTTCCCACTAGGTTACGACTGTACAATTTTATAGTTGACGTCAAAATTATGAATCAGATAAAAAATTTTATAGTTGGGAGACGGTTATGACAAAATGAATGAGTTTGACGTCACAACCATGTGTTCAAAATAAAAATTTTACGATGGAGAGACTGTTTATGAATGGAATAACTGAGGTTAGTAAGTGAAAAAAAAATGGTGAGTAACAAAAAGGGGAAGAGATAACAACAAACCATAACAACCAAACAAAAGAGAATGCGGCATTGTAAGAAGGCCAAGGGAGGGGCCTATGACTGAGTCACTCCTTTGCCCTTTTCTTCGATTTCGTAAAGGTTTTTTGTTCACTTCAGGAGACCCACCGGCACCAGTCGAGCCTTTCTTTGGTCAAGTGGTCGTGTTCTGTAGGACCCATTTCGGCTGCTGGCTTATTGGCTTAAGACCATTGGATGTCACCTGCCCTACATGTTTCTGGATAAGTTTGGCTTATGATTGATAATTGTAGTTTAATTTGGAGAAGGTGATGTTTTTAAGGTTGATATTGCATATAATAAAATTGATCGTAGCACTTTTGATAACAAACATAATTAAATAATTAATAAAAATTAAATAGTAATCAAAATTATTAATATTATAATTTTGCTTCAAACTCTTGTTAATATTAATATATGAATTTGATTAGAGCTTAATTAGTTAAAGCTAACATGAATAGAATTGTTAATTGATTATAATATTATTTTTATAAATATTAAATTAAAAATATCAAATAACATTTTAAAATAATAATGAATAAATATGTCTACTTTCGTTTGTTCAAAAAGATTTTTCACATCTGTGCTACAAAATGTCATTTTAGAAATATAATGAACGAATATGTTTATTTTTGTCAGTTTAAAAGATTTTTCACATCCAATTTTTTATATATAGATTATAGCTTTGATAACATTATATGTACAAGTATGAATTATATTTAATTTAATGAAGCATTACTCTGGACATACGTGATATGAATGAACATATAAATCCAACGTCATAATGTTGGACAAGCAAGGTGCCAGCAATTAAGTTTATACCATGGAATTTGTTGCGGATTAGCCTAATAGGTTAATCAGAATAAAATAATATTATAGTAATGATATTATTAATTTCCAGTACTCATCCAAGTTCAATTAAGTGCTTTCACTTCTTAACGTATCAATTTCAATATCCACCGTCCAAGAGGTAGCTTGATGAAATTAAGAAAACAACAAACATAAAGTCTAAGATACAGTCAGAAATGAAATTTTTTGTTAAATTTTGAGATTTCTTATAATTAAAGATTTCAATACTTGAGACTGTTTATCCATGAATTAGGTTCAGGTTCAAAATTATAGATAAACCACTCTTACTCTATTTTGTAATCAAATAAATAAACTAATTAATAAATTAAAGCTTAACTAGATAAATTTAACTTAAAATTAAACTAAACTTATACAGACTTTGACCTAGAAATGGAAACAAATTGGAATCCTTCAATTCCTCTCACATTATTTTAATTGTAAATGTTTTATTATAATAATATTATTATAACAAAGTGGTGGCTGATACTAAATCTCACCATGCCACTTCGATAAATCAAGGGTTACTAGAAATTAAAATAAAAATAATATTAATGAGTTGTTAATTCAATGATTTAGAATTGAGACTCTTCAATTTGAATTTATATTTTAATCTTAATCTAAAAAATAAAAATATATATATGATTATAGTATGTCAATTATTGGGTCCTACTTACACCAATAATTTTCATTTTCCCCATACTCTTTTGCAACGCGTCTTAATTTCACCGGACCTAACCTTTCCTGCTTAGCTAAGCTCGCTACTACCGATTTCCGAGTAATAGTTCCCACCAATGATCCTTCCACGTAAGATCCACTAGCCTGACAAAAAAAAGGCCATGAATCACATGTTCAAAGCACGTGACTTGCAGTTACAAACGAGTAAACGGAGAGCCGCCTCAAAGAAAGGGCAACGATATTTTTACTAGAGTGCTTACCCTTCCACGCCAAATACCCACGCGAGTCTCTGAGTCACCGAGCCACAAATTCCCTCCACGTGTACACTGAACTCATCGAAAGGACACTATACCACCAGTGCACTTTAGCACGAAGCAGTTTACCCCTTAACCCTCAACGCTCAAGTAAAGCCACACAAATGTCACGTCCACGGGCAATTGCCGGTCATCACTTGATTTACCACGCGGAAAGCGGAAATTACTTTATTTTCCATCAACCGGACGTAGCCGGTAACCCAAGAAAAATCGGAGATTCATAATCTTCTCACTCTTTTTCTTCGCTTTACTTTCCATATAAATTGGCTGCGAGGGTTGGAGCAAGCTTTGTTTCGTATCCTCTCGTCTTTGGCATTTCCATTTGCCTTTGGGTTGCCTGTTTATTTACGGTTATACCTATCAGGTTATGATAGCTACCAGTGGCCGGAAACTCGAGAGCCGTCGCTCCTCTCCCGCTCTCGGTTTCCCTCGCTTTAGGTTTTTTCGTTACCGGCGCTTGAGGTAATCGTTGACTCACTCGCCACTCAACCTATAAAGACAGGGAGGAAAAGTCTTTTTTTTTTTTTTCGTTTGAATTATTATATATTACACTCGATCATTTCAATTCGATGCCAAATTCGAAAAATAACCGCAAGGAACCAGAGAAGAACCGAAGGGGAAGGTTATCTGAAAAGGCGTCATCGTTTCATGGGAGAATCCCGACGATGGCACCGACGGAGCTGAGGCGGCCGAAGACGCTGCCAGACTTACTTTCAGAAAGGACTGTTTCTATCTCACCCGATGCGAGGCCAAAGTTGACGAAGCTGCTATTGAACGTGACGATTCAAGGGAGCCTCGGAGCCGTGCAATTGGTGATGTCACCGGAAAACACTGTCGGCGACTTAATAATCTCCGCCGTTCAGCAGTACTCAAAGGAAGGTCGACGACCGATCTTGCCGCCAACGGACGCCTCGCTTTTCGACCTCCATTACTCTCAATTCAGCTTAGAAAGTAAGATAAACAAAACCATCTCAAAAGAATAATTAGCCGTTTGATCAGTGAAATATATCTTTTTAACGACACGTGTACGATATGATTGATTGCTAATATCTTTTGTGTGGTGGGGGGCAGGATTGGAAAGGGCAGAGAAGCTGATGGCGTTGGGATCGAGAAATTTCTTCTTGTGTACCAAAAAGGCTGCTTCAAAGGACGGTGAGAAAGAAACGACATCGTGCTCAAAAGAAGCGGAAAAGGTTACAAAGAGCGGCATACCTTGGCTCAAATTCATGGATTTCTTGTTTTAGAAAAACAGGCAACGTTTTGTATTTTGTAAAAATAGGATTGGAATAATATAAAATAGTTGTGGGTTTAGATTATGAAACATGCAAATTTGGGAGTAAAAAAAAGGCATTTGGGGTTATATTTAAATTTTTTAGAGAAGATAAAGAGTCAAAAGAGTGTTTAATGAAAATCTCCCTATGGAAATGTGTATAGTTTTTTAGGAATTGATTTATTAAAGTTGGAATATTTGATGGAAATTTTCTTAATTTGTTGAATAATGTATTCATGATTTTATTATGTTGTCTTAAATCGAGAAAATAATTATTTTGGGATAATTTCTACTCTTTAAGGGATGCAGCCAAATGTTAAAGTCAATATCTATCAAAAAAATTGATTGTTATTCAAATATGTTTAGGATGATTTCTTTTCACCTTGTTATTCTCATTCACTAAACTATGTTAAGCCACTCTTTAGCCTTTTTTTTTTTTTTTTTTCCAAAGAAAGCTGCTTAGATTTTAAATCAAGCGAAAAATAATAGACTAAATCACTAAAACTTGAATGGACCATAAGCTAAATAATATATTAACATGAACATGAGTATCTTTAATTAAGTTGATTAAAGTATTTACATTTAAAAAGATAGTATCCATTAAACATGAGATTCAAATTTTAATATTTATAATCTTTCTTTAATCAGGTTATTTTTTTTTATATAAAAATATAGTAACGTAATTGAAATTTGTTGTTTTATTTATTTATTTATTTTGTAAATTAAGAAATCCATGGAGAGATTTGAACTGGTAATTTCCCTAATAATAGTATTTATAAGTGTCTGCAATGATAAGGTTATACTGAGAGCATTTTTTGTAATGCAAATGTTGGAATGTGAACCAACCGCAAATTATGCTTTTTACAGGTTTGAAGAAGAAAGAGAAGATGATAAAGGCTAAAGCAGTGGTTGTCTGAGACTCTCAAATTGATGGTGTCAACTTGTCCTTTGATATTTTCTTTGTAGTTGAGGAGGCTTTGCTTTGGCGGTTATTCAAAGTAACTTAAAACAAAATTCAGGTTCCAACTTCTAAGTTTCAACTAGCTTGTTTACTGAGTTTAGAATATTCTTTCTTCGTAGTGACGACATGGGCAAAGCTAATTTATTGTAACAAATGGGTTTATGTTAAAATTTGTAAATTTATTTATTTATTCCCTACAAACAATTTTGAATCTTGACCATGGGAGAACATTGCTTTGATCAATGTAATACTTGTCTATTCTGAAATTGTTGTCTGGCAACTTGGTAGCTGTTACTGTAAATTGGATTTGCAATTATCATTAGGCAAAAGGAGATGTCACATGTAGCCGTTCGTGTCCCAAAGGCCCAATCCCACCTGTCACATGTAGCTGTTCTGTTAATCAACCTTGATGCCTTGAAAGTTTTGGGGTCTTTGCTTAGAAGGAATTCAAATTCTGCTATTTGATATAAAAATCATGAATTAATCATTTAAGTTCGGATTCATCAGTTATATTACTAAAATTTGATATATTCAAATGAGTTTACCATTTTTCTTTTAATATTCTAGGAGGAAAAATTGTTTTAGCTTTGCTGCAGATCTTCTTTATTCTTTTCAGATAAATCAAAACAATAGGATAGAAAGTTGATAGAAACTGATACTCTATACCTAAATAAACAGTCATTTGTGACGGCTATTTTTGACTCCGTTGCATCCATCCCCTTGTTTTTCAAGGTGCTTTCAGCGTATATATAATTTGACCACTCACCTTCCCACAAAAATAGACTTGTCACGCCTATAACTTGGCTTTGTTATGAGATTTAAAGGAAATGGAAAAGAAAAACTTTGACTAAAATCTGACAAAATTACAAAGTGTGATTGTTATCGTCATAAACATCATCTTTCATCTTCAAAAGTAAGTGAATGAATTGCATCAATAACTTTTCCTTGAGAATACAATGAACTTTTCCAATATATATATATATATATATATAGTTATAACATCAGGTACTCATGAGGGACATTTGGAACCATTGGTTGGTACAAATTTAAACCCATTGCTAAATATTTTAAACATTTTGTGGCTTTTTCCAGGTTGCCATTGAGGCACATGTCAGAAGCAAAAACTGGAAATTAAAGCATGGGAATAAGTAGTATGCATGCAATGGCTGAAGCATGTTTGTTTTTTCTATTCTTTTTCAAATCAAAAGCTCAAGATTCCCAAACCCGAAAACCAAAAACCTGATCTTTTTGAGGCACTTGCCGACTGAAACTATGGCCTATGGGAAACTTCAATGTATGTGTCCCAAAAGTAAAGCTCTTTGTCTTTTGGAATCCTTCAAACTTTATTTCCTTCCTGTCAAAAATTTTAGTGGTGGGAGCCATGTGAATATGGTTGGCCAACATAAAAGACAAATATTTGGTACAAATTAATCAATCAACCAATGAAAATTCCCAGTGGTTTATGACGTGAGGAACAGATTAATTTTCTTTATTACTGTTTCGAGCAAAAGCTTATCCAGTAAAAATATCAATAACCTGATGTAAGATGTGTTTGGATTGATATGATAGGCAATTAGATCCATTATTTTTTTGTTTATAATTAAGCAAAAAGTTATAGCTTGGCCACCAAGAGATATTATTCCTCAAACCTAACATCCCACTTGCAGCCCTAAAGTTAATAAAAATTACAATTTGCTGTTTTCCTGTGAAATAAATTTAAATGGAACTACTGCAATTAAAGTGAATATCACATGCAATGGAGTAACATTGCCATGAGTCAAAAAATATGGTGGAAAATTAAAGGTACTTCCCCCTCCCCAACATGGTGTTAATGAGGCATCACTTTCTAGACCTTGTTTTGTCATTGAGCTTCCACTATCAAATCCTATTGCTATATAAATTGAAGTTTATCCTTGCCATAGAGAAGTTCCGCTCTGCTGTGGAGAGTAATTTAGTATCATTAAGTAGAATTATTCATATATGAAAAGAAATATATAATATTTATAACGATTTTTTGAAAGGGTGAGTAATTTGGCGATATGAAATACAATATTATTAAGAGCAGCAAAGGAAGAATAAAACGTGACCCACCTAACAAAGATGGATTAATACCAAAATGATCAATTTTAAAAATCCATTCTTTACACAATTAAAGCCATTCTTTGATAATCCTTTTGGTGCTTAGGTGACAACAAATAAAGGAAGTGAATAAGAGACTTAAAAAGCACACGAAAGAGGGGATATACAAAGGAACCTTGTTACTCATGATTCACACACACGTCTGTATCATTTGCAAACCAGTCAAACCATAAACACTACAATAAAATAAAAGATTAATGGCAGTTTTGTAGTGACGTTTTACTTACAAACGCCGTTAGTTTTTGTATTTTTATAAAACTTAAAACGTTTTTTTATCAAAATATCACTAAATATTCAAATAGCAACGTTTTTACTTATAAATGCCACCCAAGCAAAAATTAACGGTATTTATCAACTAAAATGCTTTGAATAATCCTCTCTAAAAAATTAGAGTGATTATTGAAGGTAAATTTGACAAAAAATATATTGAATAATCTTGTTATAAAAATAGATAGAAAATTATTAAAGGCGTTTTCTGAAAGAAACGCCTTCAATAATTTCATTAAAAAATTAAAAAAGATTATTGAAGGTGTTTTTAGTCAAAAAATACATTCAATAAATATCTTATCAAGTTTTAAAGATCACACGGTTGTTAACCATAAGGTCATAGGTTCAATCCTTTCTTTTAGCATTTTTTGGGTTATTGAAGAAATTATTTGTAAGAGATTATTTAATGCGTTTTTTGGACAAAAACGTCTTTACTAATTCAATTAAAAAATTTTGGAGAGAGAATGTTGAAAGCATTTTATGTCAAAAGCGCTTTCAATAATCCACTCAATAAATTTTTATGAAGAGTTATTAAATGTGGTTATGATAAAAAATGCATTTAATAATCTATACAAAAAAGTTGAAACAGATTCTTGAAGGATTTTTTGTCCAAAACGTCTTCAATAATCCACTCAATAAATTTTTATAAAGAATTATTGAAGGTAGTTTTGGTTAAAAATACATTCAATAATATTTTGTTAGGGATTATTCAATGTGTTTTCTGATTAAAAACGCCTTCAATAATCCCATAAAAAAATTTGGTTTAATTATATATTGAAGTCAGTTGTAGGTTTATGCCCTACAAATATTTGAAGTCAGTTATAGGTTTAAACCAAGAAAACATTTGGTTTATATATGTGATACTACGAATTACATTTCGAAATTTACATTATGAACATTGTTGTATTTTAATAAATTAACCATACATCTAGATTTAAAACTGATAACATTGCTATATAAATATACTTTTCTCAAATAATCGTATTCAATATATATGTATCCATATAAAACAAATATATACCAATAATATTAAACCAATACCCCAATCTATAAACTTAAGTTATTTATTCAATATGATATGTTAAAAATATTATGACAAATGATTCTCATATATTTATACTCAACCAATAATGTCTGACCTTAAGGTTTAGTAATAAATGATAATACGGTGAAGCTTTCTTTATTCTCTTACTAAAAAATATATATATAAGAAGTAAATGTTAATAAACAATAAAAGTATAAAACATAAAACTCATGATTCACACGTCTGTATCATTTGCAAAGCAGTCAAACCATAAAACTCCGTCCTCCAAGATGGGCTTCCTTGCAGTGGAGTTTGATATTGCGACCTTTACTTCAGAACATGCCATTTTATACTTTAACTTGTTCTTCTAACTCTTCTTTTTGCATGCCAAACTTTATATTGGAATTGTAGAAAGAATATTGCTTATCACTTTATAAAGAACCCCAAGAAAGGTTTTAATGCTAGAAGAATGACATAATTTAACATTACAAGCTCATGTAATTGCTAAAATATTCCTATTTCCAAATCTTGGCACTCATAAAAAGCATCAAGACATATTGAGATGGACCAAAATTCAAGCAAAACTAAAAAAAAAAAAAAAAAGACCAACATTGCAAATATAATGGTTTTACAGGCAACAATCACAAGGCCATAACTGATCAATCTATACGCTAAACTCAATGAGTTAAGAGAATGATGCAGGAAACAGAAAATAACGAACATGATAACTTATGGTTAGAGTTTGAGATGAAATGAGAGAGAATTATTTTTTATTTTTGGTTAAAATTTCAGAAAATTTTAAGTACCGAAAACAAAATCTTTTTGTTCATTCGCATCATATCCAAAATTTTGCATATATTTAATAAATACAGTATATTCTTTCAAAAAAATAAATAAAGTATGTTTAACTTAATTATAATCAACAAGTCTTTCCTTTGTACCCAATAAGTAGTACTATAAATGTTCTCAAAGATAAAAAGGATTAGGCAAAAAAGAATGTGACGATTAGGCACTTCTCAAGAACCATTAAGGGATTTATGGCCTATTCTTCAGGTGTCCATAGATAGTTTAATAATGGGCTTTTTTTAGCTTTACAATACCTTAAAACATTGGGGTAGGTTAAGTCGAAAAAATTGAGGGCAGGTTAGGGTCGGACTATTTTTTTGGTCCAAATCAATTGGGTCAAGGTCCAAGAAATAAAGAATCCCAAACAATGCCTAAAAAGTTTTAAAAAAACCCTTAAAATAGAATAAACACAACGTGGCGGCAACTCGGTTATAAATTCATTTCTATTTTCGCTCATTTCGACCTCTTATAAGGCATTTTTACTCCTCTCTTGCTTAGCCTTCTAAAACCCTAGTTCTCCCCTCCTCTCAAAACCCTAGCACCCTTTTCTTTTTCTCTCATCGTTCATCGTCATTATCATCCATGGAGTTCTGGGGTAAGCCCCTTTTTCTTTCCACTTTTGATGCTTTGGGCTTTTGCTTCCATCTCTGTTCTTCTTTTCTGTTGTTCATTTTCTTATTTTATTTGAACATTTTTATTCATTATTCTTTTTTTTTTTTTGGTTTATGTTTCTTTTTGTTTTTAAAAGGCAGTTGTTTTCCTCTGGAAGCTTTAAACTTTCATTTTTGTTTCTTTTGTCTCTTCTATTGAAATGATGTTAGCTTTCCCTTGTGTTTTAACTCCTCCTTTTTGTATGGTTTTTAATCCATTTTTTATGGCTATGTTAGATTTTTTTTTGGGTGTACTACTATCAGTACAAATTATATTATTATTTTTAAACATGTTTTAACATTTGCTTGTATCATAAGTTTACATTTGTTAGTATGATTTTGCAGATGGTAGTTAATAGATTTTGGATTCAGTTCATTTTGTGGTCATTGAATGAAAGTTTGTTAAGAATGATTATATACTTCTGATTTATATTGAAAGTGTAAAGACCCTTTATTGTTGTTTTCTAGTTTGGTTAATTAAATTTAATTGTCTTTTATGTACTATTAGGTATTGAAGTTAAGGCTGGACAGCCTATTAAAACAGACCCTGGTGCCAGTTATATCATCCATCTTTCCCAGGTTCGAAGTGATTAACTTGTGGTTGTTTTTGTTTGTTCTTTTTTTTTTTTTCTGAAATAATCTGTAGTTTTGACTGTGTATTTAGGCATCACTTGGCGAGTCGAAGAACAAAGCAGAATCTGTTCCCCTTTATGTGAATGCCAATGGGAAGAAACTTGTTCTTGGAACTCTTTCCCACCAGAATTGCCCTCAATTAACTTTTGATTTAGTATTTGACCAAGACTTTGAGCTCTCTCACAACTGGAAAAATGGGAGCGTCTATTTTATTGGTTATAGAACTTTTGTGCCAGAGGAAGGATATCCTTTTATTAGTAGGAAGTAATTTACCTTTTTTGTGATAACCAAACTTTTGTTTTTCATTAATGTGAAGTGTGCTTGTTCAATCTTGTATCCCTTGACTCTTAAGCTGTCTTCTGTCACCACTGAAGATGAATTCGGTGAGTCCTTGAATAAATTTTGCCTACTTGCAGTTTTTTTTTGTTTTGATCAAGTATTTCTCATGCATATTATTCTTATATACAGATACGCCAAGCGAGGAAGAAAGTAGTGAGGAGGAGGAGGTTCCTGTGGCTGCTGCAGAAAATGGTAAGTTCTCTTCCTATCCTGGAATTTATATCAGTGGTTGAAGATTTGATTAGTTCTTATTTTAAACTGGCAAACATTTTCTTCCATTCCAGGAAAAACTAAGATAGATACAAAAACAGCAAACGCTGATACTGGGATCAAGATAGCAGAACCAGGCAATAACAAGAAAACTGAGGATGATGATGATGAAAGTGGTTCTGATGAGGATGATGATTCTGAGGATGAAGATGAGTCTGATGAGGTTTCTTTTTGTAACTAGGCAAAAATTTTTAATTCATTTATTATTGTAGTGAATGTTTTTCCTTATTTTATTTATTCTGAATGGTCTTTTTGTTCTGATATCTGGCAAGCCCTTTTCTTTTATCATATTATTTTGGTTTTATTAATTTTTTTCCCCACTAATAGTGAAGATATTAAAATTTTCGGTTCCTTCTAAAAATGATTGACATGAAATGCATGGGCAGTGACTTTAGTTTGATAATTTTTTAAGGATTTCAGTAGGTTCATATGTATTACTTCCTTTATATTCCTGTCTAGTTGAAGTAATAATTGATAGAGTTGGATGAGTGAATTTTGAATTTTGTGTTTTTCTGGACAGATGTCTATGGATGAAGGTTCAGATGATGAGGATGAGGAGACTCCTAAGAAAGTATGTTTGATAGATTTTTAGCGGTTTTCGAATTGTTGAATCTGACCTGATTCTATTAATGTTATTTGTGTCTTTTGCTTTCAAGGTTGAGTCAAGCAAGAAGAGATCTGCCGAAGCCACAACCCCTGTTTCTGCAAAAAAGGCAAAATCTGCAGCTACACCCCAGAAGACAGGTTTTTCTCATAGTTCACTCGAATGTCTGCAGTATTTCTGCCACTTTTTATGTTTACATATTTTTTTTGTAATGGTTAACCAGTATTGGGCCATTCATTTCTTTATGATCTGATTATAGTTCCTTGCAATTGCAGATGGTAAGAAGGGTGGTCACGCAGCAACACCACACCCATCAAAGCAGGCTGGGAAAAATTCTGCAAAGAGTCCAAAGTCTGGTGGGCAATTCTCTTGCGGGTCTTGTAACAAGTACTTATCTACGACTTTAAAAACTGGTACCAATTTTGATTGAGTTGGTTGCTTTACTAACTCCCTGCATATTTTTTATGAGCAGGTCATTTGGCTCTGAGGGTGGTCTAGAATCTCACAAGAAGGCCAAGCATGGTGGCAAATGAGAAGGTGTTACATGCTCTTGGATGTTTAATTTTGGGAGAGATGTTTTCTATTGTGGTTTTGGTAGAATATGCTTTTAGCATATATGGGAGGGGTTTATGGTTAAAAAGACTTTGGGGGGTCCTTATTTCTGATTCCAAACTATAATTTTGGATACTATCTTTTGGTTGTAATGTTGTCTAGGCGTCTGTTCTCTTCTTGTCCGTTTTGCATTTACATAGGATCTTATAAGAATGAAAGGATTATGTTCTGGAAGCTATATGAATGAGGTTTTGCATGTGGATGTTATTCATTTGCTAAGTTGACCTGATAGCATCTACCGTTTCAGCTTGTAGGGTTGTCTTGTCCTAATAAATCTTTGATTAATGTGTATTGCTTTTGGGAATGACAATATATTGTCGTGGTTGGATTAATCGTGAGCTCAAAGAGTTCAGATTAGGATTTATTTATTACCCCAAGATTATGTTGGATGTATAAAATTATTGATAAAATAATAATTTTTTTATATTATATTCAATATTTTTATGACATAAAATTATTTAATTTTTAACGATTGAAAAAAATATTTTTAATTTATGAAACTAAATTTATATGTTAAATAATAATTTTAAAAATTATATTAATAATTTAAATTATATAAATTTTTTAAAAAATTTTAATAAATAAATAAATAATTTTATTTTAATTTTTATATTTATTAAACATAAAATAAGATGATATTATTTAATTTAATTTTATCTTTGTCATATACATGATTTTAAACATGCGAAAAAGGATTTACTAATATATCAAGTTGCAGTTGTAGACAACAACTATACTACTAATTTAATATTATTACAGATTTGCCTCCTAAGCTATGTTCATACTACTCCATTTCAATGCGACTTTACCATAAAAACAAAAAGAGAAAAAATCCTTTTTGAGTAATTTCCGTAATAATAATTGATTAATGGCATGCTTAAGAAAGAGAAGAAATAGCTCATACATTTTATTAGTAAATTGAAGGCTGAACTATTTTCTACGAGTCTAAGCCGAAAATAAAAACTCCTTTCCTATATATTGATCTAAAAGCTGCCTTCATTGAATCATTGCCAAATGCACAAGGTTCAAAAGAGGGAAAATAAATAAAAGAAATCCAGAATTCTGAAGTTTATATATTAAACCAATAATTTTTTTGGTGTGCTAATAAGTCATATCATAATTCGATTCAACAACACCTATGCTCCAATACTTCTTGGTTTCCTCGTTTTCAAAACAGATCCATTTCAAAGTCCTAACAACATAAAATATGATTGTGACGATCCAACAAAACAAAACCAAACCAAACCAAACCCGTCTGTCAAGAACTAAATATAAAATCCAAAGTCAAGCAAAATTAAGCAGAGACCCGCTAACAATAACACTCCTATTCCTAGCTTTGTTGTTAAGACACAATCTGATCACCAACAACTACAATGTACTTGCAGTAGAGTTGAGAGAGGCTGCGGTTACTTTCTTTTCACTTCTGTAAGTTTAACCCAAGAAATCCTTTAAACCACCAGTTTTTCTGCCACCCAACGGACAACCTGTACACAAATTCCATGATAAGCTGCTATTAAAATAATGCCTCAATCCCGAGAAGCAGGAATACCTGAACCTGCAAAACTCAATATCATTCATAAGATAACAGTTTTTCCTATAAGTAAATTTAAGACTTAAGAGTTTGATGTAGAGATAGATTACAGGAAACAAAACCCAATTTAGAACCATGAACTTTGATCGTTCAGTAGCCTGGAAGTGTGGTGGTCACAGGGTACCTGACTGTAAATTTATGAACACAAACATACACAAACAAGCTTTAATGCATGCATTTTTGCCCACAACAGAAGGTTAAGATAAAAATTTAAGGCAGAAGATAATATCTTTCCATAGACTTGCCTTATAGTATAAATTATGATCTCCCATTCCCTACTAAAATATGGAACAAATAGTAGTGGTCACGTTAAAATTGAAAGAACACAGGAAATCAAGGCCAAAACAAGAGCTTCGGGGGAGGAGAGTAAAACAGAGTATATGTATTCTGATTCGCTTAAATGTTAAAACCTTGCTTAGCTAACCATCCATACCCAGCTTCAGGCAAACTTCTCTTTCTTAATTAATTGCCTTAAGCTTCTACAAACTTAGAAAAGACTGAAGTTAATTGAAGAGAAAGCAATATCATGGAAAAATGTGGTAGGGTAAAGAAAGACAGAACGAGAAATTGCAAAAAAAGTTAGGAAAAGAATGAAGCTAATTGGAAGGCCGAATAAAAAGGGACATGAGTTCAAAATTTCTCAAATAGTGATGTAGTCAAGCACACAATCAAGCACCATGACAGTAGTTGCAAAAGGCATGGACCTAAATGCAAAAGGCAAAACAAATTTCAAATTCCATATCAAAGAATTGTGAACCTGCACACCACCTGCACAGTGGAAAATGGGCAGTAAGCTATATTTACTGAATGCTGGGTCTTAGTAGAAATATTTCTTGTTCTTCTGAGGATAAAAGAAAAAAAGAAAAATAATGAAAGAAGAACATTGAGGGACAAACCGGGCAGAGTGATTTAACCAGGATTAATGGGCTCCCAGTAGTGGATTCTACTCCTGCAGCTGCTGGTAATGCTTATCATCATTCTGCACATATCCATTGTTACCATTCTCATTGTTATTATTGGCAGCATCTTCATCGAAATTGTTCGCATTTTTTTCTTGTTCCCTTTCGCGGTTCCATTGCTCAATTTTAGCACGTCTCTCCTCACTGCCTTCACGGACTGGGCTACGATTCCTCTTTCCACCAGGGCTTCTGCTCCGCCCTCTCCGATGGCCAGGACTGGTACTCCTATGCCTTCTGCGACGGCTATCATAATAATTATCCCTATCATCATACCGCCTACTATGGCCACGCCCACCATGAGAGCGCTCATCATGGCTACTACGATGCCTGTGAGGGCTTTTGCTTCTGCTTCGACTCCTTCTCGACCTCCCAAATAACTGGCGCCTCAACTCCCTAATGAACATTAATACAATGAAAATATTTAGACCTATTAAAACAATGACCATATACAGCTAATGCTGATTCGAAAAAACAGCCCACCTGCTGATTCTTTTAAGATGCATAAAATTGCAATATCCACCGCGATTGCAAGTGTTCTCATCATACTGCCTACAGGTGGCTTCACGGAAGTCTGTCACAGGTGAGAAGTCAACAATGATAGGACGGCCTGCAACAAAAAGTAAGGCAATTTAGTGATACAAGCATTTATACACTTCCAAAACAACCAATAGATAGAAACTAACATGGAAAAAACAACTTAACAACGCAAGCATCTATTACAAATTATGAAAAGATTGAAACTAATACAAAAGGGTAAGGTAAAAAGCATAATCATCTATTAAAATACCAGAATTAAAAATAGATAGAAACTAGTAACACAAAAGAATAATATAACTTAGCCTTAACCTGCCTATTTTGGACATGACACAGAGTTAAGTTGGTTTGCGTTTTGTATAATCATGCTTGTGTCATAATTGTGATCTCATTGACCAATCTAACTTGTATATAAAGCACTTGTACACGATTAATTAATTGTATTAACATGTTAACCTACATCACTCTATATCTAACCCGTTTAAATTCATTTATTGAATTATTGATTGGAAATTCATGAAAATACTTATTATTCATGTTTAAATAGGTCAATTGTATCTAAATTGGTTTACCATCGTATATAATCGTCTTTAAACACATTAACCATGTCATATTGTGTAACCTATGTATTAAACATGTAGTGTTTGTCACAGGAGCTTTGACACAATTAATTAATCGTGTCATGTTCAAGTCGACCCATTTATCTGTCATACCTTTATCTTGACACAATACACTTATGACCTGTTAACACAAATTGCCAGCCCTAACTTCGCCATACAAGAATTTGTTCCAATTCAGGTCACTAACTATATGTATATATAAAGATAGAAGAAGCCAAACCAGCATAAAATCTGCCGCTAAGATTCTTGAGCGCATTAGCGGCATGTTCTTCCTCTCTAAACTGAACATACACATTGCCCACCTGTCCATAAAATTGAAGTATAATTAACATATGAAACCATAAAACAAAGATAGTGCCAAAGACTCGTTGGGGGAAAATCAGTTACCATATGGTCAGCCAAGTTGTCGCATATGTTCAGACTCTCAATTTCTCCATACTTGCTCAGTTCCTCAAATAAATCTTCATAAAAACCCTGCAAAATTAATATTAAACATATAAGACTCTGTTTTGTTGGTTACATTAACAGTTTGCTTTTATCTAACGGAAAGCAAATTCGAAATATCTCCTATACTATTTAGCATAACTTTTGGCATTCGATTTATCTTGATCCAAACAGAGCCAACATAAATATTATATATATATATATATATATATAAAATTGATTAAATCGTTAAACCCTAACTCATAGAGTAAAACATTTAGATTTAAAATGTTTTGGAGAATTACCTCGAAATGTTCTTGGATCTTGCGGGGGTCGATGGGGTTACCCTGGGCGTCGACGCCGGGTGTGATCATGTCGGGCCGCTGGTACATGTTAGAGAGAAGGAGAGTAGGGCTGATGCTGGGCTTGGTGTGGAGACGCGAGCACCTGTCACCGTGACGACACGCGCCTATCTTGAAATAGAAGGGGCAGTTCACCCTATCCTTTTCCGTCCCAAAAATCGACGCCAAGTGCTCCGCCATTTTTTTCCCTTCTTTTCCTTTTCCTCCGTTTTTCTTCTTTTCTCTCTCAAAGGATCTCTTTTCTTTCCGTTTTTTTGAAGGAAAAAAGATTATTTGAAGGACGGTGATTATCGGACGGTGTGGCGTGAGATCGAAGGGTTTTGATTTGGTGTATTGGAGTTTGAGGGATGAGATTGTGGCCGTTAGATCATTATGGCTTTTTTCTTCTAGATGTTTCTAATGGATTACAAAGAAATCACTCGAACAGGGCCACTGGTTAGGCCTAAAAGAACAGGCCCATTGGAATTCTTAGGGGCTAGGGCTATCAATGGCCCATTTAATATTTCATTCATTATGGGCTTAATTTAAGCTCTAATTTAATGATCTTTCCTTCGAAGAATGACCTGGGTTTGGGTGTCAGGGACTATCAGATCCATAGCCAAGCATTACCAGATTGCTGATCAGCCAGAACCATACTGATTCTAAGTTTTTCGATGGAAATTTACAACTTTTTAAACAATAATCATCTAGAAATATTAATTTTTAACTCTAGGATTCCTCTTGCAAAGACTGGTCATGCAGATAGTCGATGGTAGATGAGCTTAGTAGATAGTAGATGCTGCGGAATATTACGATGAAGAGGTGACCCCAAGTTTCAGGGAATGGGGCCTAAGAGCTTCCAAATTATGGGTTGTATGAGGGAAAGGATCCCGACGTCTCAATGTTAAAATTGATTCATCAAGTGGCAGTTCCAAAAAGCCAAAGCACAAGACAGCAAGTTGAGAAGACATGCCAACTAACCATTTAAAGCATCCCAGAGAATTATTATTGTAGTATTTGTTTATCAGATATAGAACTAAAATTAACCGACTTGGAGGAGCAGATTCAAGTCCAGACTTACCCCAGATTCACTACTGATTTAGAAAGAAATGACCCTTTCCTATAGTCCTCTCCACCCCTTCTCTTACAATGCCAATTATTGAAAGAACCCCACATCATGTGACAAAATTAACACTGTAGTGAAAGAGGCAAATTTCTGAGACAACTGCAATGCTTGCATGTGTACGAGTATGTAGAACTTTTTCTGTGTTGGGTGTGGAAAAATGTGGGGAATGCCCTGGAAAATGAAGACTGCTAAGAGAAAGTGGGATTGTTCAGTAAAGCACAAGCACGGCTGAAGTAAAAAAAAAAATTGTAACATTTGTATTGGTTGGTGTTTGCTTGAGAAGTCCAATCTCCATCCATTGTCAAGACAAAATGGTGGGAACCTTAGCACGGAAATTTTAAACTAATTGTTTGTTTTGTAGCTGAAAATTAACTAGTTTCCACTTCATTATCAGTCCTTTTCTTCATTCATTGCATTATCAGTTTATCAGTTTGCTATGCTTCACACTATCTTTGCCTTTTTTTTAAGTGAATAACTGCCACAGAAAGCTACATTTGTCGCCTCGAAACCTTGTCATGGCCATTTGTGAAATGAAAAAAAAAAAAGGGCTCTCCGTTAGCTTTGGTCCTTGAGAGAAATTGCTCAAATGAGTGCCTGAAACAAGGGCACCCACTATTTGTCGCAATCAAAGGTAGAATTTTCCCATTATAATTGAGAAAGATAAATTAATGCAGTCTGACACAGTTTGGTTGTTTCATTTATAATGCCACCTTGTCTTGGTTTCATTGATTCTTTGTTATAAATATATACATACATATATATATATACATGTATTAGACCTTTTGGTGATACTATCACTCAGAGTATAGTTGGCAAAAGTAAGGCTCATTATACCATGGAAGATTACAGTGTTATCTTAGTATGTTTCCTCACCAATTAGTACGAATTTAATTACCAAGATTTATTCACAAAAGTTTTGTATTGTACAAAGAAAAGGAAAAAATAAAGTCAATATGCTTCAATCGCAGGCTTGCAGCAATTGGTCATGGAAACAGCTTGGTCCAGGAAAAAGACTTTACCTCTTCTTAATCGAAATCAAGCCAAGGATAAGTATTTCTTCAACATTAGATATATAAATTGTTCGCAGACCTTGATTTATTGTTTTTGAAATGAATAAACCAACCTCTCAAAGGTGCAAAATGCATCTTCCATTCGAGTTGGATATGTCCTCTCTTCGTTTAATTGCTGCACAACGTTTTTCTCACTTTGCTTCTGGCTATAATTTTCTTACTGGAAACGGTTGATTATACAAGGCAGGTAATGCCTGAAGCACCTTGTTTCTGAATTTCTTTTCTTTGAAGCAAATTGTCAGAAAACTTGATTTGGAAGTTTCCATAATCTCTGAGCTCCAGTTAAAAATTCAATTATCTGTCATAAGGCCAAGAGGCCAATTATTTTTAGCAGTCCTTTGACATATAAGTTATAAAAACAGTCTTTGCAGGCCTCCCAATTATTATTATTTTTTGGCCAATGCAGGACTCCTCATTCACTCAATTAAACTTTAACCTACTCTCTCTATTATATATACCAGTTGCAGATATATTATTACTTCACCTTTTGGATAATATAAATTAGCTCTGCCTATATGTCTCCCTCATTGGGCATTGGTTGAAGTATAAGTGACAAAAAGGTTAGCTGAGATAATGAGGCTTCTATTAGAAGAAACACAAATTGAGCATCGATCATTTAAGTTTAATGTTTGGAAAATATTGATTTTTTTAATCAATGAAAAGAATTAGATTCCTAAAAAGGGTATTAAAAAATGTTAAAGAAAAAAAGAATATAATACATAAGATAATCCAGAATTCATAGTGCATCCCACAAGCCGCAAATGATTGGGACAAGACATGAAAGGTAAGCAATGAAACTGTTTCTTGTTAACTGGTAACTACCTAGTAATAAATTGTCTGAAAAATAAAGAGTAGACATGATTATGGGTAATGTTTATGTCTCAGCACACTGAAAAACTTCATCTGCTATTCAGCCTGATACCGGGTTATAATATCTAAATGGGAGCTCATGAGGGAATAAACTTACTGGAATAATGATTCCTAGTGAAGGAGAAAACGCTGGCAAATGCTTAAACTCTAAGTTTAATCAAGAAAAGCTGTTCATAAATGAAGCACATTATATTTTTATATGTATGGCATCATGTTACTTTAGCAAGAAGTTTATTTGTATAATTTAAGTTATAGCTGTAATTGCATGAATGGATGCAGTGATTTTATTTATATAAAAAAAATTGCAGAGGAAAATGTTATATATATTAATATTTAAATTTTAGATATATTAAATATTACTTTTTAAAATTGATTACATGAATCAACTTGACTAAATCAAGTTAATAAATGCAATGATTTTACGATTTGAAATAGTTTAAAATTTGTATTAATCTAGAAAATTAAGAAAATGCTGGGAATGTATGCAAGGAAACAATAAGAAATGTTGTCAGGGGAGAGAATCCCAATGCAGAAATGGTTGTCATAATAGTTTTAAATAAAAGGTTAGAGGGAAAAAAGGCTGATGCGTGAAATCAAGGCTTGCTTGACTAATGAGAAAAGTTTACAATATTAGTTTTTAGTATCTTAATAATAATGCTGCAATTATTGCCACAGTTAAAAAGTCTTGGAAAGAAATCCAGTAAATTGAAAAAGGTACCAGAAAGAAATTATTGACAAGAATCTGATACAAACCAAGGATATAACAGAAACATATAAATACTGGGATTTGATAAATTAACTGTGATTACAAAGTTCACCCTTCTATCCATCACTTTATTCCTTTCGAAAAGCTTGTAAAACTAAAAAATGTGAAACCCAAAAGAAGAAACAAGAGAAAAGAAAAAAAATCTCACAATTACAAGCAAACATCACTCCCTGTTGTCTATTATCACAGGCTCTTTTTGTATTTTCTTTGTCCTTGACTCTGTATAATATATTGGCATAACACCACTTTTTTCTGGTGAATTCTCATTTGCTGGAATGATTTGGAGGGAGAGACGGTGACAAGTTTTCTTTTGGTGCTGAATACGTTGAAAGACCTGTTTCTGTTTGAATGAGCTAAAAATAAGCAATATAATTGCAGTCAAATGGCTGCAGACCGGCTCCCACTTATCTTGTGGGGGACAAAAACACTGATCACCAACACAAACGCTTACAGGATTGTGCCAATGTCGTTGTGACACTAAATGATGGTGCCAACATAGCCAATTCCTGTGATGAAGAAGCTAATTGTTTGGAGGAAGAGGTATATGAAGTAATTGTTCTTCCCATGGACAAAATCATAGCATCCACAAAGGAAGAGGAATGCCGCGAATCCTAACTCCAATGTGTTGAGCCTGTTCATAGAACAATAACAAGAAATTCTACTCAGAAATAGATTAATAGTTTCATAACATTCACATATTATAATCTTGTGCTATTCAAAATTTTAATTCAGAGAAAACTCATTAAGTTTCCAGGCGTATCTATTGCTAGAAGCAAACGATCGGATCATGGGAAGTTAGGCAGGCAGTAGCCTTATCTCTTTGGCAACTACAACAAAAATGAAATCCATAGAACGTACAATGTCTGACAACTTTGCTATCTATTTTATAAAATGCCAACTCAAAGAATCTCAACTACAATAACTGAAAGAAAATAACACTAAATATTTGACCACTAGAAGTTATGGGGTTTGATTGAATTGGAAAATATTGTTTTTTCCTTATAATATGCAGATTTGGTGGGAAGTATTTTAAAGAAATAAAAACAAGAAAAGATGACCTCAGGAAGAATCTTAAATTCTTTAAGAGCGATGATGACTGTTCTTACCTATCAGTGAATTTGAATCTAAATTTTCTGGGCGTTTTGACATTTGTCTTGTTCTTAGCAGCATCTGCCGCTTTCTTGACAGCATCTCCTAGTTTCTCAGTGACTACCCATTCATTGGCTCTGCCAGCCTCCAGGAGACCAATAAATGTTGCCTTAGTCCGGTGCAATGACATAACATTCTCGAAAAGAATCCAGTAAAATAGTAGATGGATGGATCTGCAAAGCCACAGACGATTAGTCTTTTTTATATATAGCAAATCAAGTTAAAGAGGATGTAAAGAGAATCAATCATTGTAATACTGTATGCTATACCTTGGAGTTCCTACTGAGTTTAAAATGGTGATGATGGAAGGAATATAAACGGCTCCCCAAATAGGAACTTTAACTTCAGGTACCAAAATTGTAAGCGGAAGAACAACACAGTAAAAGAAAAAGGTGACCATATGAGCAATGATCTTTCGCACGAAGAAGAAGCTGTAGATAACATATACTTTCTTCCAGAATTTCACTTTCTGCAGTACATATTGTAATAAATCAATAACACTGCAAGATTGAAAACAAGGGAAATTCATAAACCCCAACCTTATATAAGATTATATACAGCAACGCTAACCTTGTTTTGAATGATCTCCCATACCATTTTCCTGAACAGATTAGCAGGACCACAGGACCATCTATGCTGCTGGAAGCGGAATGCCTTGAAAGTACTAGGAAGTTCACTTTTCACCTAAGTAATTAAGACACGGGAATAATAAATCACCTGCACACTTTAAAGGGGACCATGCATTGCACATTGATCACACAAAAGAAATACCTGAAGGTCACCAAGGTAAACAAATTTCCATCCCCTAAGACTAGCTCGGACGGCAAGGTCCATGTCCTCCACGGTGGTTCTATCCTTCCACCCACCTGCCTCATTAATGGCAGCAATTCTCCAAATACCAGCGGTTCCTGCATTTGGTTCATGCATGCACTTTAAGTTATAGCTAGTAACTAAGAATTTTGAGGGAGTCTTAGGCTGAATTTTGAGGGAGTCTTAGGCTCGTAGCATTTGTCAACCAAAGTGAAAGGAAAATAAATGCAATAAGGAGAAGAAATGTGGTTAGCCTAACTAATAAAAAAGCTCAAAACCAAACCACTGTAAAAAATAAAAAAATAAAATAGGGCTTTCACCATTAAAACCAAAGAAAGCATGTGTTGCTGATCCAACTTCTTGCTCCACTGTGAAATGGTAATCCAATGACATCTCTTGCATTCTTGTTAACAAGCATTCATCCGCATTCACTGCAGCAATGATCATTCATTTAGTAAGATTGTTCAGGACAATTTCATGCGTTCAAACGAGTTAATAGTAACGTACGTGTATCATACAGTAAAATTAAAATTAAATAATCACGAACGTTAGGTTGTTCTCAAACTGTTTCTATTTGATTTTTGATTTACTGAGATAAAGACATTAGTTGGAGGCATCATTGGCAGTTAATTTCCCTCGTCGGTATCCTAGTAACGTAGACGAAACGAACAAAAATGAAAGCCGTTCAGACTTTTTTGTCCTCTTTTGGTTCAAATTACAATGTGCCACGTAACAACAACACGAGGTAGCTTCTATAATCTATGCAAATGGCTGTTTTATTTATAATGTTAATTCAGGCATCTACACAAAAATTATAAACAATTTTTTCTTTCAAGAAAAAAAAAAGTACTTAGAAAAATATATCCAAGTGTCGGCAAATAGTACTCCCGCGTCTTAACTTTACCTATAAGCTGGGTCCCAATTTTCACTTAAAAAGGTATGACGTGGATGTGGAGTGGCTGCTGTTGGTTAAAATTGTCATTTTAACCTTCACGCTGGGATCCTGCTCTTGACCACGTGATCCGTACAATCAGGTGCCGTTAATCAAAAGAGCAAAAACCGACCATTTCATGTTCTTTTATTCTAAAATGACAAAACCACCCCCGAAATCACATACAAGTTACTAATAACCAAAGAAAAAAGCTTGCTAATCACCTATGAGCTTAACCCTAGTCCTTTATCTCATTTTTTTTTTTTTTGTTACCTAAGTTGGAAAGAAAATACAATTTTCCTAATAAAACAAAAGAAAAAAAAAAAGCTAGTAGACAAATTTGTTACGAAACTTCAAATCATTAAATGCCTTTTTCATTTTAATTTTGAGATGTTAACATGTACTTAAATTTAATCAATAATCATGTGATCATAAAATATTAAAATTTTAATTTTAATTTTAATAATCAAAAATTAAAATTTTAATTTTAATTTTAATAATCAAAAATTAAAATTCGAATATTATAAAAAAAAATTTTGACTCTTGATAGTCATATTCTAACGGAGATATGTGTCTAATGTATAAAAATTGCTAGAAGATTTTGGCGTTACGAATTAGTCGTTTTTAGCGATGATTATGTGTAATTTGCTCGACCAATCAAATTTTTGTATGCTTATTATTGCTTACTAGTTTCCAGTTTAATTAATTAGGTGTTACGATACTATACTATATTCTCAAATGTAGGTCCCATGAACAGAGATCTACGGCTGCTCAAGGTGGCGAAGGCCATGGGGTCCACAACCCGTGATTGGTGGGTTTTTCTTGTGGACCCAACCTTAGCTCCATGCAGCAGTCTGCAACCAATTCCGCCGACAAAAACCAAAACCCAATTACAGGGTATAAAGAGAAAAATTCGTAAAAAAACCACGTATAAGACCACCGACACTTTTGAGAAATTTAAGCAGCAAGGTAATGAAAGTAAAGGGTCATTAAATGAGAGCAATTATTAATTAAATTAATGTTAATGTAATTTTTTTTAATTAATTGAGGTTTAATGGAAAAGACTGGTGAGTAGGGAGGTTCAGGTTTAGGTTTGGCTTACCAAATCTCCAACGAGCTTGAACGAGAGCGATGTCAGGGTTATGGGCCAAGAAAGGAATGCTTCTTCTAAGGAAGTCAGGTTCAGGCCTGAAATCAGCATCCAAAATGGCCACATATTCACAATGTTTGACATAGCTTCGCTTCAATCCTTCCTTCAAAGCTCCAGCCTTGTAACCTGTTCTGTTTTCCCTGATTTGGTACGTTATGTTTATGCCTTTGCTTGCCCATCTCTGGCACTCTTGCTCTACCATTAGCTGCAATCAAAACCCCAATTTTTTCTCATTTTAAAGTCATTGAGGATAATAAATATGAAAGTTGAAACTTGAAGAATTCGATGAGGAAATAAATGTTAGAAGCAAATGAGCTTTTATGTTTTTGACAGTTAGAGAATGACAATTATAATGCATCATGCAGAGCTCACCAAAAGGCTGCAGAAATGAAGAAAAAGGGATTTGAATTATTAAGTGATTTAAATCGCATTCTCTTTTGGTGAGGAACTGAAGAGGAAATTAGGGAAATAAGTGAGAAAATGCATTCATGAAAAACAAATAAGAAGAGAAAAATGTATTGGGGAGTGTTTAAAGTGATTGGTTTTGACTTTTGTAAGATTTTTACCTTGATTGCAGGGTCAGTTGAATCATCAAGTACTTGGATCACGAGACGATCAGACGGCCATGAAAGTCCACAAGCTGCTCCAATGGAGATCTTGTAAACCTGTTCCAAAGACCAACAACAACAAAAAGTAAAGCACCAAACTTTTTAGTTTGAGCCTGTTCTCTGAAACCCAGAGATAAAATACCAAAAAGAAGCAAGTTCACCGAGGAGTAAACAGGGAAAACACTGTCACTGACCTCCTTTTCATTGAACATTGGGATTTGCACTAAGACCACGGGGAAATTTGAGCTTCCAAGTTCCACATCATCTTGAAAAAGCTCAAAATTGTAACGCTTCTCTGGTTTTTTCCAGAAGAGCTTAACAAGAATAATGACTACTCCCATGTAAAGCCTCTCCATGAAGAGCATAAGCGACATAGCTAAGCAAATGTAGACACCGAGTTTCAGTAGAGGAACTATCAATGGTGCTTTGATTAGCTCCCAAATCAAACCAAGTTGACCTGTAATATCATCTCTCGACACTTGAAATGACTCTGGAATCAGCAGCTTTGGTGAAATTTGAGCCATCTCTGCCTCTTTCTCCCACTCAGCAGATCAGAGGAAAACAGAGAAAAAAACAGGGGATAAGAAATAAAAGAAACCAAGAAAAGCACAAAAAAAGAATCTCTCACTGGTTTTTTCTGAACAATGTGGTGGAAAATGGGGCTTTATATAACTTGGAAGAAGGCCTTAAACTAAGACGAGAAAAGTAAGAACCCAATTCAAATCTGTCACTCCCTCCTCTCTTCAATTATCCAAGTAATGGAAAAAACAAAAAATAGTTACTTGCCAGCCCTCCTCTTAACTCTTCCACAAACCTGTGCCAGCCAATGCAGCTTCCGTTTCTTTTTATCAAAAAGAAACAGAAACAGAATGGGAAATGAGGCAATGTAAGAGAGAGAAATGCAGAGACTCTGAGGGAGAAAACAAGGAGGGTCTTTTTATAGTCACATTTGGACTTTACTTAGTTCACCTATTAGTCTTCTTTTGGAGTAATTTTTTTCTGGTGACCATAAAAGCTCAGAACGTCAACTTTTTATGAGTCCAGTTTGCAAGGTTACAAGTAGGAGTTTAATTTCTTACAGAGGACATTTTTGTCATTATAGAAAACAGATTCATCTGAAATAACCCCCAAGAATATGAACTTCTTTTCACTTTTATGATGTTGTGGCATTTCTTGATTGGATGTTCCAATGGCAAAAGCCAAAGATTAAACACACTTTTTTTCAGGAAAATGTCACCAACTGCTGTACCTAAAAGTTAAAAAAGTACATCTGGAGAGGATTGAAGAAGGGCCTAACTCTAAAGGAAAGACTCCTTGTAAGGGCAAGAATCATCATCCATCAGGTTATTCGTAAAAATTGCAGCAGACAAAACACAACCTGGAGAAGTAGTTTTCTGAATTTCCCAATTTTTTTCCACACAATATTGGTATTTTCTTGGTAGCATTCTGAGTTTGCGACCTGTTTGACTGAAAAAGCATATTCCTTTCTCCGACTACCATTAATCAAGTTGTCATTGACACCATCCCCAAAATCCTTTTCCAGTTTTCACTCTCTTTTTTTTTCCTTGCTATTTGCCAAATTTATTGTTTAGGGCTTAGACTTTGAATTTAAATATCAATTATACTTAAAAGATTAAATTATTACATAAACCTTTCCTAAAAGAAAGAGGTTACAAATATCAAACAAAATTATCATTCATTGGTTAATTTTAAATGTATGACAAGAAGATTTTATTATTCATAAATGTTAATTTCCAAATAAGAACTAAAGCATTTACTAGAATGAGACAAACAAAGGCAATTTTTTTTTTCATATCAACTCTTTTTTTTCTGAATAAAAAAGGGTTAGTTTGCAAGATTTGAGTCATGTTATGAAAATACTTTAACAATTCTAACCTTCTCATGTCTGAAATAGATGACTAATTAATGGCTTTAACGGCCATGAAGAAAACAATAAAATCCCTACATCAAAGGATAATCTTTACCCTATTGATTGTTTGGCTACTATTTGAATGGGATTTTTTTTCAAATACATTGCATTAGTACGAAAGGCATGATCATTTATCAATCTTATGTACTCATATTTCTCGTAGAAGGTTGGTAGTATCTGATTTGGGACCCAAATTCTATTCCCCAAAGACCAAAGGCTAGTTCATTTGATTGATTTGACCCTCAATGAGGAACGGAGAAAAATTAAGATGGTGGGGGAATGTCTAGCAATTACCTCCATTGCCTTTGCTCTATATGCCTGTGAAGCATATGGAACATTTGATGTAGACTGTACTTTCCAAAGAAGTACCTCTGCTTTGTGACATTAATGAAATAAATCAAAAACTCTTGAATGACTGTTATTCCTTCAAAAATGATACATATGTCTTCAACGACTTTGTCTTCAAAAAAGCTTAAAAAGCTCTCATTTCATGTTCTATGGATTAAGGAAATTAATATTAATGCATAAAACTTATTATTATAATATTTATTCTATAGTTTTAGGGTTATGGAAACAACTTGTTTGTGTAATTGTATGTATGTTTGATGATAGGTTGGGGGAGGGTGTTCAAGTCAACTCATGCAACCTAGATTAAGATTTAAGGAAGAAAATGGAATCATGATTTTTTTTTTTTTCTCTATGTATAAAAAAGACCAGAATCAAGACTAAATTTCGTGTTGTTGGAGGAAAGTTGAAGAAAGGGCTCAAGCAAATTAAACACATTGCTCTTTTTTCAAAAATTGGCATAATTGACTATGTTTTGGTACATGAAAATGGAAATTATTGATTTTATTGATTCAGCAGCTATTTCAATTTCTCTGTTCCGAAGAATGAAAAAAAATCTTCGGGGTGCTTTATTAGACCCATAAAATGACAGGAGAATTAGTCCTATAAACAAGGCTTCTTTCCTTGATTACGTGACTGATTTTGCAGTGTACAAAATGATGTAGTTTTCCATCATAATCAAAGCAATGAAGGAAAAGAATGAAAGCATATGCTTTTGTTTGTATTTTCATACACAATCTGTCCGCACATAATGCCACTCAACGAGGTGTTTTAGTCCATCAATTTTCAAACCTAACCCACTTTAGTTCAAGTATTTTTGTCTTCTTCATCACTTTCTACTGCGTTAATTGGCAACTATAACAAATTGACTGCAAAACGGTATTTTGAGTTTTGACTATGCCAAAATAAATATATATACAAATTCAGCTTGTAAGTGAGTTATTGACATATTGGTATCCCATCGAAAATTTGCCTCAAATGTCGCTGCATGTATGGTTTATTCCAAGAGATTGGTAAACCCATATTTTGAGTAAGAAGAGCTATGTAATTTATCATTGAACTAAATGTTCAGGCAAAGATAAGAGATTGAGTTTATGAAAATCGAAGTGATCGATGGTGCAATTAACTGCGAATTTGGGGGGCTATGCATCTGAAAATATGGGCAAGTCGCTTTAAGATGATCAGAAATTATTGAAGCCTGACGCATGTTTTGAGCCTTGAGCGGTGTGAAACATGCTGTTGTCTCCTCTCACAATAATAAATAAATAAAATAATTTATGAAAAGGGTAGTCTCACGTTCCATTTTTTACTGAAATTATGCACAAGTTGACTAGTGTTTCTCTTTTCTAAAGCCCAAAACGTACAACCATGTGAAGCTACAATAAATTCCAGACTACAACCAAAACTATGAACTTAAAATTCCCAGGAAAAAAAAAAAAAAAAAAGAAGGGGAAGATATCTTATTCTTATTATTAATTTGTGCTATGTTGTTCTTGTCAAGGAATTGTTAATCATGTAGATTTTTTTATACAAAAGAGAGGTAGTGTGAAGATAAAAGAAAAAATTATTGAACGTCATCTTTCAAAATTAGTTGCATAAATCAATGGATTAAATTTCGAATTTTTTAGAGAGATCAAAGTAAAGCTTTGCGTTCTTTACTGGATCCTTGACACAAGGGTTTGTCAAATTTTGGGACCTTTTAATATTTGAAATAGGGGAGTTTGTTCTCTGAATTCTAGACTTCACCACTTTCACCAGCAAATAGTGAGTCAAACATTGAAAGAAAAGGAAACTAAAAAGAAAGATATAGAACATGCTGTAAATTCAGCAAGCCATGTGCCAGAGTTTAGTCTTTTCCATTTTCTAATGTCAATCCATGCCTTACCTTCTTGTCCAATGACTGCTAAAACTGTCATTCTTCCAAGTCATACCCACTGGAGTAATTACTACCCTCAAGTTTACTTGTTTGGTGAAATGAGAAATTACCTGCATTTTAATTCTATGAATTACCATCAACAACACAATATTATCACTGTTTTTAACCGACACATGATTTTGGAGAAATATAATGTTTGAACTTAACTCTTGAAGTCGAAAATGCATAATTGGAAAGTGCAGGAAAAAACGAATATAAATAGATGTATATATAAATATAAAATCAGTGATTGAAAATATGAGATATTAATTAATGTATTTGGTAATTAATAATTTCTTTATCTTAGAGTTAGATACCGAAGATACAGTTGGCATGGGAGTTTAGGGCAAACCGACTAACCCCAATCTTTGTGGCCGGCAGTGAAGCAGATCCTCATTCATACCATTGGAAAGGTAAGGCTAATCACGAAAATAATGTGCCAAAAAGTTAGACATGGGTGACCTACCTTTGTGAGAATGGGAGGTGGTTCCATATTTGTCTCAACCTCTTTCTTTCTAGTCTTTACCATAAATCATTGCTAGTGTGGTTCATACATTTTTTTGTTAGCCGTAAAAAACTTTCATCATAACTAGTAATTAATGTTATTATTGTTGTTTAAGATTTATTATTGTTGTTTAAGTCTCGTATTCGAGTTTCATTATTTTTTTGAAATATAAACCACATTATGTATTGATTTGTTGATTTATTTTATTTCATTTGTTTTATTCAATGTAATATGTTAAGAACTATGTAATTATGGTTGTAAATTTTACTTGTAGACATAATTTTTTTAAAAATTATAAATTAAATATTGAGAAACAATAAGCAATAATTATGTAATTATGACATCTCTCAATATTATTGGTGAAATTAAAAAATTTTATTGTCAATGTATAAAAAACAAATTTATAAATTTAATATTAAAAAAATTAAAACAAAAGCCATTAATATAAGTGAATTTTAGTTAACAGATTTAAGATTAGTTGAAATATCATTGAAATTGATATTTAAAGATTATAGATTCAATAAAATTTATACACGTAATGCCTCTTTAACCAATATAAATGTAAGAGTTAAAATTTAGATTAGAAATTAAAAAACATGCATAAGTGGTTTCAAACCATTAAACAATAAATTAAAGCTTGAATCTGGTGAAGCTTCTATATTTATATAAACTAGTCTAAATGTGACTTACTATCATTTTCTAAATTAATTAATATAAGTCAGGATACTTTCCCTCTTCCAGTGGGATATATGTTGTATGATGCCAGGAGAGTCCGCTTGGTAGGGATGTGGGTATTTTAATGAACCTTATTATCTTCAATAAAATATTTATGCTGGCTTAAGGAAAAAGAAGAAAAAAATTTTCCCTTCTCTTAGCTTCCATTCCTTAATATTGAATTATTTACATCTTGATTATTCAACCATTGGATTGTAATTTTTCTTTTCTTTGTATTTAATGTTGTGATGTTTTACTTTGCTATGTTATAAAAACCATATTTAGAAATATTATCTCCTAAATTGTTAGGGGATGATTGGCAAAGAGAAGTTTAGTGGTAAAACTAAGCAGCATCTTTAATAATATTTTTATTGTTGCTGTGATAAAGAAGTATCACCAAAACATTCTGTCATTTATCATTTTTTTTTTCTATCATTTTCTTCGTTTGGTATGAAAAAATTTTAGAAAAAGAATAAATTTGCATAATTTTTTCTTCAAATCCAATAATTTCAAATATGAAAGG